TTTTTTTTTTTAACTTAGTGTTTTTTGTTTAGGATGATGCCAATGACATGCCACAGTTTTGAGTTTGGTAGAACTAGGCTGGACTTGGTTGCACGTGTGTGTTCTTCCGATGCTTCATTCGACTGGTTTTCCACAAATTATCATGCAAAAGGCTTCTCCAACACCTTTAATGGAGGCTATAGGCCCCGGAAATTGTTCTGTGGACCGCATGAAATTCCTTGGCGCCGCATTTTTTCAGAGAAGACTCGAAAAAATCTGCTAAATGGTGCATTCTTTCATGAGCTTAGCATGAATTAAATTTTTGTTTTGGTGTTTAATTGAATTTAGTGGTTCATACTTCATAGTATTTAAGTTTTGTTATCGCACTGCTCTAGGGGTAACTGCATTAGGTTTTCAACCAGTGCCGGATGTGAAGGAAGATTCAAGTTGTCCCATTTAACTGACAAATCTGTTTGAACTGGTTGCTGATGACCTCCAAACATTGGACAATAATCTCCAATCAGTGAGTAACTATATATTTGGTTGCTGATTACCTCCAAAATAATTGTACTCCTTTCATGGTTCTTAATATGGCTTGTATGCTTTGAAAATGTTGTTAGGGTTAATGACACTTTGCTCCTCTTAAACTGCGAGATTTGTGTCATTTTGTCACCTCAATTTTTTTTTTTTTTTACATTGCTCCTTCCACTATAATTAGTAGTTTCACATTATCCTAATGATTTACGTCAGCTAGAAATCTGATGGGAAGTTGTTTCACTTTGTTCCCTAAACTATGTGATTTTTCACATTTTCCATCCAAAAGATTATGAATGTTGCATTTAGGCAATGTGAAACTAATTCAATTAGTTGAGAGGGCAATGTGAGAAATTTAATGGTTCAAGTAGCAAAGTTAGATGTAGGCCATAGTTTGGGAGACAAAATACTAGTAACACATTTTGTCACTAGTTTTTCACTTGGAAAATATAGTCGTTTTAAACTTCTTTTTGGTGGTAATAACGTAGTCTATAGGTAAACTAGGCCAAAATGGGGTGGCCATTTGCTTTGAGAAAGAATAAAATAGCAAAGAAGAGTGACATGATTCATGGTTCAAGGAATCGGCCAAATCGTATCCGAATTAGCACTCCGTGTGAACCACGAGTCTCCCTTGACGCATAGTTGACTTGAAAACATCTTGTTGATCACTAGGGTGATTTGTCCAAGTCTTTGTCATCCACTCGCAGTGTATTACCCAATACTTGTGATATTGTCTAAATCTGATGAAGATCATCTGCTAGATTGTTGGTACAGAAAACAAGAGATTGAAACCAGCTCTTGAGCATATCTTTCGTGCTGGTGGAAAGAGGGTGAGACCAGCTTTGGTTTTCCTAGTTTCAAGAGCAACAGCAGAAATTGTGGGCTTGAAGTGAGCACTTTATACGATCTCTTTTTCTATTTTCTTTTCTTCTTCTTTTATTTATTTCCCTGGAGAAGCACTTGCTGTATAAATTTCAAAAATATTAAAAATTTCAGGGAACTTACAACCAAACATAGGCGTTTGGCAGAGATCATTGAGATGCTGCATACTGCGAGTTTGATTCATGATGATGTAGTGGATGAAAGTGATATGCGGAGAGGTAGAGAGGGCAATCTGAATTTTTATTGGGAACTAGTGAAATATTCTTCATGTTTCTCTCAATTTCTTGTCACATTTCTGAGAAAAAAACAAATTACACTTTGACCCTTTTAACTATGGTTCCGTCTCACATTTATCTCCTCAATCATGAAAAAAAGTAAATTACACTTTGATCCGCTTAACTATTATCCATGTCTCATGTTGGCTCCTATCATGTTTTTTTACATTGCACTTTCATAGCTATCATCATTAAACTATTTTTATTTTTATTTTTATTTTTTTCCCCTAAACTATATGCCTTATTTTATTTTGTTATCCCGACACATGGAAATTTTTTTCTCTGAAAGATAAATGACGTTTGATTTTGAGGTAATATGGGGAAATGTGATAAATACATTAGTTTAAGGGGAAAAGTAAAATCGAGACCATAGTTGAGTGAATCAAAACATTTTTTTTCCCTTAGAAAGTCTATTTTGTCACACTAGTACCCCATTTTAAATTGTTGTGAATTGAGTAGTTGTTTACATGATACTGTGTGGGAAGTTTTTCAATATCTTCGAGAGCTATTCAGCATGAACTCCTCAATCTTAGCAGTCATTTCTACTACAAGCCCATCAAGTAAGACATGCTTTAGCAAANCTACGTGAAGTGGGAATTTAATTAAAAGAGTGACACTTTTGTGAATTTTTTTTTTTAACTTAGTGTTTTTTGTTTAGGATGATGCCAATGACATGCCACAGTTTTGAGTTTGGTAGAACTAGGCTGGACTTGGTTGCACGTGTGTGTTCTTCCGATGCTTCATTCGACTGGTTTTCCACAAATTATCATGCAAAAGGCTTCTCCAACACCTTTAATGGAGGCTATAGGCCCCGGAAATTGTTCTGTGGACCGCATGAAATTCCTTGGCGCCGCATTTTTTCAGAGAAGACTCGAAAAAATCTGCTAAATGGTGCATTCTTTCATGAGCTTAGCATGAATTAAATTTTTGTTTTGGTGTTTAATTGAATTTAGTGGTTCATACTTCATAGTATTTAAGTTTTGTTATCGCACTGCTCTAGGGGTAACTGCATTAGGTTTTCAACCAGTGCCGGATGTGAAGGAAGATTCAAGTTGTCCCATTTAACTGACAAATCTGTTTGAACTGGTTGCTGATGACCTCCAAACATTGGACAATAATCTCCAATCAGTGAGTAACTATATATTTGGTTGCTGATTACCTCCAAAATAATTGTACTCCTTTCATGGTTCTTAATATGGCTTGTATGCTTTGAAAATGTTGTTAGGGTTAATGACACTTTGCTCCTCTTAAACTGCGAGATTTGTGTCATTTTGTCACCTCAATTTTTTTTTTTTTTTACATTGCTCCTTCCACTATAATTAGTAGTTTCACATTATCCTAATGATTTACGTCAGCTAGAAATCTGATGGGAAGTTGTTTCACTTTGTTCCCTAAACTATGTGATTTTTCACATTTTCCATCCAAAAGATTATGAATGTTGCATTTAGGCAATGTGAAACTAATTCAATTAGTTGAGAGGGCAATGTGAGAAATTTAATGGTTCAAGTAGCAAAGTTAGATGTAGGCCATAGTTTGGGAGACAAAATACTAGTAACACATTTTGTCACTAGTTTTTCACTTGGAAAATATAGTCGTTTTAAACTTCTTTTTGGTGGTAATAACGTAGTCTATAGGTAAACTAGGCCAAAATGGGGTGGCCATTTGCTTTGAGAAAGAATAAAATAGCAAAGAAGAGTGACATGATTCATGGTTCAAGGAATCGGCCAAATCGTATCCGAATTAGCACTCCGTGTGAACCACGAGTCTCCCTTGACGCATAGTTGACTTGAAAACATCTTGTTGATCACTAGGGTGATTTGTCCAAGTCTTTGTCATCCACTCGCAGTGTATTACCCAATACTTGTGATATTGTCTAAATCTGATGAAGATCATCTGCTAGATTGTTGGTACAGAAAACAAGAGATTGAAACCAGCTCTTGAGCATATCTTTCGTGCTGGTGGAAAGAGGGTGAGACCAGCTTTGGTTTTCCTAGTTTCAAGAGCAACAGCAGAAATTGTGGGCTTGAAGTGAGCACTTTATACGATCTCTTTTTCTATTTTCTTTTCTTCTTCTTTTATTTATTTCCCTGGAGAAGCACTTGCTGTATAAATTTCAAAAATATTAAAAATTTCAGGGAACTTACAACCAAACATAGGCGTTTGGCAGAGATCATTGAGATGCTGCATACTGCGAGTTTGATTCATGATGATGTAGTGGATGAAAGTGATATGCGGAGAGGTAGAGAGGGCAATCTGAATTTTTATTGGGAACTAGTGAAATATTCTTCATGTTTCTCTCAATTTCTTGTCACATTTCTGAGAAAAAAACAAATTACACTTTGACCCTTTTAACTATGGTTCCGTCTCACATTTATCTCCTCAATCATGAAAAAAAGTAAATTACACTTTGATCCGCTTAACTATTATCCATGTCTCATGTTGGCTCCTATCATGTTTTTTTACATTGCACTTTCATAGCTATCATCATTAAACTATTTTTATTTTTATTTTTATTTTTTTCCCCTAAACTATATGCCTTATTTTATTTTGTTATCCCGACACATGGAAATTTTTTTCTCTGAAAGATAAATGACGTTTGATTTTGAGGTAATATGGGGAAATGTGATAAATACATTAGTTTAAGGGGAAAAGTAAAATCGAGACCATAGTTGAGTGAATCAAAACATTTTTTTTCCCTTAGAAAGTCTATTTTGTCACACTAGTACCCCATTTTAAATTGTTGTGAATTGAGTAGTTGTTTACATGATACTGTGTGGGAAGTTTTTCAATATCTTCGAGAGCTATTCAGCATGAACTCCTCAATCTTAGCAGTCATNGATGTGTATAAGAGACAGTATATATATATATATATATATATATATATATATATATATATTTTATGTTTGCAAAAGATATACCTTGATTTTCAGCGACAAATATTATGTTATTGCCAAAGAGAGAAAATACGACTACAATATATTTTCTTTCGGTGAAAAAAGTTTTTTTGTGTTGACCAGATAAATTTTTAAGCAATTTAAGTTTTTTGTCACTAATAATCTACTTTAACGATGATACTTTAGTTGGTCACCAAAACCTTGAGTCTACCGTGACAAATTGGTGACCAAATTTTTTCGTTCGCATAAAACTTTTGTAAGCGAATCATTCACTTTTAGTGACGATTTTTTTTGCCGTTAAAAGACATTATTGTAGTGAAAGATTTATTTTGTGATTTGATAAACAACAATGTTGTCACTGTCATGTAGAATTTCGGATAATCATGTATGGCAATACTACCTTAGTATGCAATCTTTATTTTCCTTACTTTATTCTTTTTCGTATTTAATAACAAGCTGTCACCTTCTAATTATACCATCTTAATGTAGGGAAGGAAACTGTTCATCAGTTATATGGTACAAAATTGGCATTGTTGACAGGGGACTTCATGTTGGCGCAGTCTTCATTGTACCTGGCTAATATCGAAAACATTCAAGTCATTAAGCTCTTAAGCCAAGTATGTCGACGTGCACCTATCAATATTTCCACTCTATGTTAACTTTTCTGACTATTAATTTCATCGGTGTCTTCTAAATACCCTTTTCATTGACATATTTTGTAAATCAATTATGAAAAAGGGTTGAGTAATTTGAGCAGTATTGTGGTAGGCAGTTAAAGATTTGGCAAATGGTGAAATGAAGCTGGCGTCGAGCTTGTTTAACTGTGATGTTGGACTGGAGGAATATTTGATCAAGAGCTACTACAAAACAGCCTTGATTATCGCTGCTAGCGCCAAAGGAGCTGCCATTTTTAGTGGCGTTAGCAGCGATATCTGTGAGCAAATGCATCAATATGGCAAGAACCTCGGTCTACCGTTTCAAGTTATGGATGACATTTTGGATTTCACTCAGTCTGCAGAGCAACTTGGGAAGCCAGCCGGAAGCGACTTGGCTGAAGGGAACCTGACTGCACCAGCAATTTTTGCAATACAGAAAGAGCCCAAATTGAGAGAGATCATTGAATCTAAAATTTCCGAAACTGGTTCTCTGGAAAAGGCCATTGAGTTGGTTAAGAGCTGTGGGGGCATTGAGAGAGCACAAGATCTAGCAAAAGAGAAAGCTGATCTTGCAATCCAATATCTTCAATGCCTTCCTCAGTGCCTTTCGTGTGGCCCTTAAGAATATGGTGAATTATAATCTCGAGCGAATCGATTAGATCATTAGATGGATATGGTGAATTCATCATGCCAAACTATTGTTCTTTTTTGAGCAATATTGGGCAGAGGCGTATGGTTTGATAATGATTGTGTGCATCTAAAGTTTGTTTTAAGCACGTGGTTTGGACGATTTTCCGTTACCTAAAAGAAATAATGAGAAGGGGTATTCTGCAATTTGCATCCCTATTACCCAACAAGGGCAGTGAGTCCTTCCCCTCCCAACATAAATTCAGTCAAGAACATAGTCTATTTATACCAAATTAGGGGTGTGTTTACAATAAACACCCACTCAACCCACAAAAATTTCAATAAATAAATAGAACTAAAGAAAATCAAAAGGAGCCAATGAATTTCAACAACTTAAGAGAATGATCCAAGCTTAACTCATTCACCACAAGGGTTTAAATCTTATCGCCTTGTCTCCCGTCGCATGGTTGAAAGCATCAAACAATACAAATGCAATTTGGCTGGGTAGCTTCTAACTTGCCAACTTTCAATTCGATCTTGTGTGTAAAGTATGAGACTCTCGTAACTTGTTGAGTTGCTTGAGAGATCCCTTGAATGTATCGTCATTTTAAATTTTTATATAACATTTCATGTATATTATCTCAAACAATTTTACGATATCACAATTGATGTATTTTATTGTTCTTCTAATCAATGATCGATGTCGTGAACTTAAACCATGTCATATTGGGAGGATAGGGTTCACACCCCCAAGAAGGGCACAAGGTATTTCAATACCTAAGCTTCAGCCCACTACCAACCAAGCTAAGCAATGATTCTAGCACCCAAAATCTTGAGCCTGTCAAGTGGTCATGTGATCATATCACGTGAAGCATGATGCATTTGGTTAAAGATTAAGCAACATATTCTATTAACTATTACATTTGGCCTAAGTTGCCTCAATTTCACCATTTTGTCTACAGCTCGTAAGGTGGACATTTTGATTTAACTTAATATATAGAAAGTTTTTTTTTTTTCAACGGTCGGAGATGTTCAGATTAGTTTACGTGTATTTTAATTAATTTTTTTTTTGATTCAGTTAAAAGTGGGTTATCCATGTTGGGATGACGGTATTCATAAATAATAAATCCTTCATGACTTGAGCCCAATAAATCATTCAAAATTTGAATTCAGAAATTCTAAGTTTGCAATTTGTTCATGTTATCACTTTACTCCGAAGTTATGTGATGCATATTACAATGGACGAATCAGATTTTAATTTAACTTAACTAGGTCTCTTGTCTCTGTCATTGCATTCTTAGCTATTAAATTTTTTACATTATACTAGTAATTGTAATTATCGATTTTACATTATTGTGGACAATAATATATTATTTTGACTTCTTCACCATATTAATGGTTGTTTGAAGAACATGATCGGTATGTTTATTTGAATTCTAGTATAACAAAAAAGAGCGAGATTCACATAATAGTGCTTTGTCCGTAGAAAAACAAAAATGCAAAGGTGGTCTTATTAAAAGGCTTTCAAAGACAGAAAAAAGAAAATACTGTCAAAGGGTCAAGTTTTTATTCAATTAGCTCTGTTTGATTTAGAGCATCTCTAATCCACCTCTCTAAAATAATTAATTAAAAATATATTTAAATATTACATTATCTACTTTAACTACTTACTTTTACAAATTTATTCCAACTACACTCTCTATTTTAGCTAACTACTTCATCCAACTTTTGCTAACTTTAAATAATTTAAAAGAAAAATAACATATATATAGAGAGATAGAGAAAAAAAGAGGTAGAGAGATAATTTAGAGAGGCTAAATGACTATCTACATTTGGAGAGTCATTTGGGTGAAATGAGAAATAGATAGTGGAATAGAGAGTGGGTCGGAGATGCTCTTGGACCCCACAAATGAGGACTACTAGGGCTGTCAATTTTTGATACGACATGTTAACACGATACGAACTGAACACGAAATTAATGGGTCAAACACGAAATTAAATGGGTCAATGAATAAAAACGAGTCAACATGTATAAACCCAAAAAAAAAAAGCAGATCAGGTTCATATCAAAATCAGGTCAACTCGATTTTGACCTGATTAACCTGTATATTTTAAACAGGTTGATATAATTTGACTCGAACCCGACTTACCCATTTATTATTCGTTTAACCCATTTATCCAAATATATAAAAGTACCAAAAAAAGCATAATCTTAATCTACTTCCACTTTTTCATTTTTTCACTCTTACTCACCGCCCGTTGGTTGCTTGGTCTCGAGGAGGAGAGGAGGGCTCACTATTCCATTATCATCGTTCTTCTCATTCAAGCCTTCATTGTTGCTCAACCAAAAAGGTCTGCCCCTCTCTCTCTCTCTTTGTGTGTTCTCTCTCTGTGTTGTCGATGCTGTGTGCTCTCTCTCTCTCTCTCTCTAGTCGCTGCGACTCATTTGAAATGTAGAACAGTCAGAAAATGGCCCATTTTTGTTGTTATTTTTTCCATCAACACCGTCTCCCTTAAGTGCAATTTCGGTATTTGAGTTGTTTAAGTCATTTGTTTTTACCTACCTTTGTTTCGCTTGAGAGATCACCATGGCTCTTGGAACTTTTAGAGGAGAGTACTTTTGGAAACAAATGAATTTCCGTAATATGTAAATTTCATCAATCACTTATTTTTTTATACTTAACTTTACAAGTTGTATTGGAAGTTTGTGTATTTTTTTTGTATTTTGACCAAATATGTATTGCTTTGTATGTGGGTTAATTGTGCAAACATTGAAAACTTGTAGCAACTTGTAGCTGCCTGCTGGCCTTGTTGGAGTAGATATGGAGCTGGAATAATTGTGCAAGCATTGAAATGACTATTTTTAGTGTCCATAGAAGAAATTTCTAATTTTTTTGCATGTTTTAGAGGATTAAAGCCATGTAATTGAAAATGGATGTTAGGAATTGATTTTCTTTTATTTCTTGTAATTTTTTGAATTTTATTCAATAAAATCTTTTTAATTTTTTTTAAAGGTGTTAAGCAGATAAAATTTGATATGTAAGTTAAACAAGTTAACATGTCATGTAATGCGTTAACTTGAAAATAACCTGTTTATTAACCGTGTCAAACATGTCAAGTTCGGATAACACGTTTAATGGACAGGTCAGGTTAATGTTTACATATTTTGACACAATTATTAAACATGTCATGTTGGTGTTTAGGAATTTTTGATACAAATACGAAACAAACACGACACGAAATAACTCAATCCGACACGTTTGACACCCTTAAAGACTACATTATGTGTTATCAATATGAGCCTGTCCCTTTATCCTTACCAAGAGTTTGAGTTTTGAAGTCTTTATTAGGGTTCGGTAATTGACCGCTAAATTAAGCTAACTAGGTCTGGTCTCAAGTAAGTTTTCAGGCACGGTCAAAAACTTTATGGTCTTATCGATGAGGGTTTAACATGGTGGTTGTTGATTGCTCTTTCTTATCTCTACCCTTTTTTTAACTAGCAATATATATATATATATATATATATATATAT